GGAGGAGAGAATGCATGTAGTTTATAGCATTAACCTATAAGCTTTTGCTTATTGGTTAATCAGTTAATCAACTACACTATTACATTCCTAGCCATGTCCTGAAAAACTCAGACATATGGTTTGTTCTGGACCTATGTACCTAGTCCAGCCAGTCCAGCTTGGCTCATTGCTCCTGTTTTGCAGGCCTCTGCCCCTCTCCTACATGGTGTTTGATGGGCCTGCGCTGCAGCCCCCTCTCGTCTTCTTGCATGGCCTGCTGGGCAGCAAAGGCAACTTCCGTGCCATTGCCCGGGCCCTGGTGCAGCGGAGTGGCCGCAAGGTGAGTGCGAGGGGCGGAGCCAGGGAAACCAAGGGCCTGAACACTGGGCCCTCTCTGCTCAGCTTCCAGCAGCTCCTCTTCCCTGACAGGTGCTGACAGTGGACGCGCGGAACCATGGCGAGAGCCCACACAGCCCCGTCATGAGCTACGAGGCCATGAGTTTGGACGTGCAGCGCCTCCTGCGCCAGCTGCACCTCCCGAAGTGCGTCTTGGTCGGCCACAGCATGGGTGGCAAAACTGCCATGACACTGGCGCTGCAGCAGGTATGGGCATGTGCAGAGTTTGGGGCAATAACTGCTGCTTGGGGCTGACAGGCCCTTGAGTAGGAGCTTCTCAGAACTAGCCTTTCTTGGAGACATCTCTGTATGCGGAGCCCACTGACGGTTCTTTGCTCTCCTCATGGCCCCGAGTAAGGCTCCTGCGGGCATGGGATCCCTACACTCGCTTGTGTCCTCAGCCAGATCTCGTGGAGCGCTTGGTGTCTGTCGACATTAGTCCCACAGAGAGCGTGACTGTGACGGATTTCCAGGCCTACATCGCTGCCATGAGGAGAGTGAGCATCCCGGCCAGAATCCCCCGCTCCACAGCACGCAGGCTAGCAGAGGATCAGCTGAGTCCAGTTGTCCAGGTAAGGTAGCCCACGAGGAGCCCTCTTCTCCCCTTCCCTCCCCCAGAGTGAGAGCACACCACCCCAGAGCCTGGCAGCCCTAGCCGGAGCTTTTCCATCCTCATGCCCTCAGTCCTGGCCCTGGTGCCTGCCTACAGCTCAGTGGGGCTTTCACTGTGACCAGTACATGAGACCTGCTCTGACAGGTCACTTTCACGGCAGGTGTCAGCAGTAAGGCAGTTCCTGCTCACCAACCTGGTGGAGTCTGAGGGCCGGTACACGTGGCGGGTGAACCTTGAGGCCATTTCCCACCATCTGGCCAAGATCATGGGCTTTCCTGTGTTCCATGCGCCTTACCCAGGACCCACTCTCTTCCTAGCTGGATCTGACTCCCCCTACATCAGGTGACTCTCTGGCTCTGAGACCCACAGCTTGTTCCTTCTCGCTGCTGCTGCGTACGCAGAGCGGTGGAGTGAGCTGCAGGCTCCCCAGCTGGAGGGGGGTGTATATGGAGGGGAAGGGATCCCAGTGTGAGTCCTGAGCTGAGCTTCTTGGATTGGGCATTCCCAGCATGAACCCCTGTTCTCTGGTGCATTTTTTCTTCCTGCAGCTCTGAGGACTACCCAGAGATTGAGCGTCTCTTTCCTGAGGCAGAGATCCAGTATATCCCAGGTGCTGGCCACTGGGTCCATGCAGATAAGTCCCAAGAGTTCATCACTGCTATCTGCAACTTCCTGCTAGTGCCATAGAGCCGCTTCCTGTGCGGGCTGAGAGAGCAGGATTCCCAGGACTGCCTGCTCCTGCACCACATCGTGAAGGACATGGGGGTGCCCCTGTCCATGAGCCAGGCCTTTGGGACAGGAGGCTCGGCACCTGGCCCATGCACTGTAAGACAGGCTAGAGCTGAGAGTGAAGCAGGGCCAGGATCTCTCCCCACCCTATGCAGCTGGAGATGCTTGTCTTGGCAGGCTGGGGCAGAGGCTTCCCCAGGCCACTGTGCCCTTCTGCATGCACCCCCCTGCATGTTAGGGCAGTGTCTTAGGGCTGTTCCTGTTCCCAGCCCCCTTCCCCTCCCAGCCTGTCCCCAGCGGTTTCCAAGCACACACCGGCTCTTCACTGGGCCGTTTCTCAGGATCTCTGAGCTCTAGGGTGGGATCCCAGCGTGTGACTCCAGCCTTGCTGGAGGATCCTACCCACCAGAGACTGGAACCAGAGCTCTGCCTGCTCTTGCACTGCCTGTCTACGTAACTCTGGGACTTTGTACAGTACGGAAAATAAGGCCCACTCAACATGAAGGCATCTGACCCTGCAGACAAGACAAGGAGAGTGGAGCAGCATCGCACCTTGCTGGAAGGAGACTCTTCTTTCCTCACAGCACGAGAACCAGGGAACGTCAATGGCTTTAAAAGTCAAGAAACCCAGCTCAAAGGAAATACCTTGTCACTCTCCCCACTCCCCCAGACTGGCACTCACTGCCACAGCACATCACGAGGGCATGTATCTGCAAAACAGGAAGTTCCAGTCCCATAATGGCTAATGGGAAGAGTTTTGGAAGGGAAATAAAATCCTTCTATTTCAAGGCTTAACAGGCCTCTAACCATTAGGGATTAGGATGAGATCTTTACAGGGATGGGTTATGCCAGAGATGCTACTGTGGGGATACTGCACTTGCCTCGGGAGCATCTGATAATGGATGGCCACTGTTCGACCCAGAGTCTGGGCTAAATGGGCTAGCCTGGCAATTCCCCTTCCTCAAGCTCCTGAAGGCAGTCCAGGTTGGGCTGGGGTGAGCGTGACTTGGAACAAAGGGTGCACTGATCTTGCTGTTTCCCGGGCTCTGCAGCGATGGGACTTTGGTTCCAAGTTGCTGGAGCGGAACATGCGCCACACAAGAGCAGCAGATGCCTCCTGAGGATTGATTCTAAACCAGAAGGGGCCATTTTAACGTTTAGTCTGGCTTGCATAGCACTGTCCAGAGAACTTCCCTGCAGATCTGGTAACACATCCAAGACTGCTTTAAAAATTCCTTTGGTACATTGTTCCAGTGGTGAATTCCCCTCACTTTGAGAAATGTGCACCTTCCCTCCCGTCTGAATGTCTCCAGACATTGGCTCTCCTTTTACCTTTCTTTGGTGGGGTACCGCAGATATCTGCAGATCAGATGCAGATATAAATGTTGTGTCTGCACAGGGCTCTAGCTGTATACCACTGCCTCAGTCTTTGTGTCATCTGTAAAGCTTGTGATTGTTTCCAGATCACTGATAAAAATGTTTAGTAGAAGGCCAAGAACAGTTTCCTGCGCAGCCCCTCTAGAAACACATCCGCTCCACGACGCGTCTGGTTAGTTACAGTTTGAAATGCCTCAGTTAGCCAGTGTCTAACTCATTTAACGTATGCCATTTTCCTTTCATGTTCTCCTTGATCCATCAGTGCCAGGTGGTACTAAGTCACACCCTGTACACAAGTGTGTTGCATCAACTCTGTCACCTTGATCAACCACACTTGTCATCTGAAGGTAGCTCTCCAGTCCACTTGAGGGGATCTGGGTTCCACAAGCCCCTGTTGCTTGGTGTAGATTATTACCCTTCTTTAACTCTTTTTAGTGATCAAATCCCACAGTAGCTGTTCCAGTTTCTGGCCTGGGATCGACGTCAGGCTGATGAGCTTATAATTACCCAGATTGGCCTGTTTACCCTCGTGAATATCAGCCTGGCAGTGGCTTTCTTCCACCTTCTGGACTTTCTCCAGGGCTTACTGAAGCTCAGGATCCAGTGTGCATCCTCTTGGCTAAAAGCGCAGCCTGACCATTCCTGCCAGGCTTGGAGACTTCCTTAGGGAATGCCCAGCTCCTCGGGGGGGGTCCTGTGTCCCAGTCCAGACTCCTCAAGCCTCCCTTCTCAGCCCCAGGTCAGAGAACAGGCCGGCACAGGAGGAGGGGAAGGTAGAAGCCACCCTTGGTGTCAGTGAGGTGAGTGTGGGGCCAATGCAGCAGAGCTTGCTGGTCTCATGGAGCTCCAGCGGCTTTTCCTTCTCTGCGGTGATGTATTGGCCCCTGCTTATGGGAGTGGAAGAGCTTTAGTGGCCTCAGAGCAGCAGTATCTGCTGTGCAGTCACAGGTGCTTGGTGAAAGCCTGGGAGCTAAGAGGGGAGGGGCTTGCAAGGGGCTGGGAGCAGGCAAGGAGAACTGTGCCTGAGGGACAGCGAGCTCCCAGTGTGACGCTGGGCTCGGGGAATCTTGAGTAGGTGCAGGGAGGTAGCATTAGCTCTGTATGGGGCACTAGGGAAACCAGCTATGGTGTCCGCCCGTCAGAAAAAGTGCTGGCGATTGGAGATGGTTCATAGAAGAGCCCTAGTAATGATCTGGCATCTGGAAAACTGCCTGGAAGGACAGGACTAGGCCATGTCTGCTATGGGGACTAGAGCTGTGCCAGCGTACTCCCATAGTGGAGACACGACCTGCAGTGACGGGCAGGGCTTTTCCATCCCTGTACCGACAGTAGGTAGGCTACAGAAGCCAGCTGCCATCAGCCTTGGTGCATTTACACTTTCAACCTAGGTGTGCTCAGCTTCAGCCAGCGGCTGTGGATTTTCTGCATCTCTGTCATCTTACCTCAAATGCAAACCAGGCCTGAGGAATGTCTGTCTGTCTGTGAGAGCTGGGAGGTGGTCGCGCTTGTACCTGCCCAGCGTGCATCTCCCAATGGAAGGGCTTTGGCTTAGCAAGCAAAGGTATAAGAAGGGCCAGAGGCTGATGCTAGACAAATCTCCCAGGAGAGAAGGGACATGCTTTTCCCGGTGAGGTTAGTTAGTCCTTGGTGCAGAACACTTGGGGGTTCCTTGGCAAAGATCTGCTCCGGCTCCTGCAGAAGTTCGGGTCTCGCTGGGTGGAGCACTGTGTCCTGTTCTACAGGGGCTCAGGTGAGAGGGTTGGTCGGTTCCTTTGCCCATTAAAATGCAACTCCGGCTTTCAGTGGCTTCTGGTGCACTGGCAGTTTACTAGGGCACTGTGTTCGGAAGTAACGGGGCCTGGGGAGAAACCTGCATGGGCAGGAAACCCGCAAATGAGCTTGACTGGAAGAAATCGGCTACTGCAAGGTGGGGCAGCTGCTTCTGAGGGAGCCTGGTTTTCAGAGGTCACTGCAGCTCCCTTTTGACTTCAGTGTGAGCTCAGCACCTCGGAGTTCAGTCCCCAAAGCGAGCAGCAGCTTCGAGCTGAGCTTGCGGCAGGAGGGAGCGCTGAGTGCCAAAGCCCACTTGAGCCACGGCCCCGTGGATTCAGGGAGCTGGGGAGACTGGTCTGTGCCTGTGGGAAGAGGCAGCACAGCAGCCTGTGGAGCTTCAGGCAACTGGTAAATCATTTGGGACAAAGAGCCGGTAGGTTGGGCTCTGAGCTGTGATGGGAGCAGGGCTGGTGCCCTCCGAGCTGCTGAGGGAGGGGGTGTTGCCTTGCATGCGTTGGAACTGAATCAACAGCCCTGCATGCTCAGAGCAACTTGGGTGAAAGGCCAGGGCGGGGAGAGGGGGGCTTGGGGTAGGTGAAGTCCCTTTCAGTTGCCCCAAAAGGAAGTTAGGGAGGAACGTCCCTTGGAGTCAGCTGACTTGTCCAGCACACCCCGGAGCTGGGGCAGGAGTGTGTCACTCTTGGGCATGAAGGAGAAGGCAAAGCAGACAAGTAACCGGTGCCCAGAGAATGGCAGGAAACCAGCACGAACGAGTTTCCTTAAAGGAGCCCCAGGCTTTGTTTTCCTTGGCAGCTGTCCCAGCATGGCTTCCCCGGCCAGCCAGCAGGTGACAGTGGTGCTGCCCAGAGCACAGGCAGAGTTAGAGCCTTGCAGCTGCCACGGTTCATTTCACTGTTGCTGGCTTTCCTCCCTCCCCGCCCAGCACGGGAGCCAGAGCGCCAGCCCCACTGGTACAGAGCTTGCGAGACTGAAATCAGCCTGCCTGGTTCAATCTGGGCCTGCCTGCACCACGGTCCAGCTTGTGTTTGCAGCCAGGCAGCCGCGTGTCACTGCCTCCCCCGTACTCCAGGAGCTGGGATGCAAGGGGAACACCGTATCCCACGAAGGGGTTGGCACGTGTCCTCTTGGCCTTCTGCTCCTAGGGCTGGTTGCTGTGGAAGGAAGGGCTGCAGCCTCCCCCGGCACAGCTTCCTGGCACCTGGCTGAGATCCCCTGGGCACCAGGCCTCAGCTGCCATGCTGTTCACCTGGCCCAGCTCCTTAGCCTCTTTGGGGCATGGCCTGTGCCCCTCCCTCAGGGGAGGAAGTGGGAGCCAGAGGATGCTGGATGAGCCTGGTGCCGTTCCCTCTCCCCTCTCTAAATGTGGCTTTGCTTCATGGGGAGGCGTGGCCCTGGTGCTGCAGGTGCACAGGGTGGGGGGGGGGGGGCTGCCCAGAGTGCATCCAGGGCTGGGGAGAGCCCAGTGCCCTTGTCTCAGCATTGCAGGAAGGGAGGGTCGGGCTGGACACAAGGAAAAACGCCCTGCCTGTCGGGGGTGACACACGAGTAAATCGCCAGGGGGCTGTGGAATCTCCATCCCTTGGGATATTTAAGAGCAGGCTGGACACACACCTGTAGGGGATGGTCCAGGCCAGGGGGCTCCAATCTTTTTAAGCACAAGATCACTCTTTGAATGTAAGTGCAATCCAGGATCTACCTCAACGCCAAAGACCCTCCCCTGCCTCCTTCCTGCTCCTCCGGCCCCGCTGCTGCTCGTTCCCTCCCCTCTGCATCCTCACTCACTTTTATCAGGCTGGGGGCAGAGGTTTGGGGGGCAGGAGGGATTCAGAACTGGGGCTAGTGTTCAGAATGCGGGCTCCAGCTGGGCACCACTTACCACAGGCAGCTTCTGGCTGCTGCAGGGGGCAAAGGCAGGCTCACCCTACCCTGGCTCTGCACCGCTCCCAAAAGCAGCCCTGCCCCCCTCTGCTCTGTGGAGATGGGGTGCAGGGTGGAGGGAGGGGCACCCTGACATCAGCACCCCCCTTCCTCTTCTTCCCGTGCCCTGCACAGCAAGAAAGAGGTTCCGGAGGCGAGGGGCAGCTCCAGGGTACCAAGGCGGAGCAGCGCGGCAGTGAAATGTCGGCACTTGACAGCCTCCCCCTGCCCCAGGGAGATCCCCTCTGCTGACCGGTGAGACCTGGCCGGTGCTGGGTCCTGCCGGGAGGGCAGGGGCCTGGCCTGGCCGACCCGAGGGCCCTTCCAGTTCTCGTGCTGTAGAGTCCATGGAGCCGGGCTCCTCCCCCCGCTCCAGCCTGGCGGGAAGGGGAAGAGCAGGGGGGGAGGCTTCGCTTTCACTTTCTTGCAGGCCGGGCCGGGCGGGCCCTGAGCGATGGCGGGTGAGTGAGGGGCCCTGCGCAGCCTCCTGCAGACGCAGGCTTGAGTTCCTGCGCCTGCCTGGGCTGGGGGGCTGCTGGGCTCTCCCCCATTCTTGCCCTTCCCCCTGCCTGGAGCCAGCCTCCTTCCCACCCCCCATTCCTGCCCAC